GAGCTATCGAGTTACCAGTTTTACATATTCTGAAGAAGAAGATATTCACTACAGTTGATGGAAGAATGATACATTTTTTTACCATGAATAAGATGACTATCATCATTTGGCGCTATATCGTACGTGTTTTGCACAATCTAATTCAAAGAAGTTTAACTAGTAAGTGACTCAAATGAGATCAGGTTATAAAACTAGAACTTCGTGATGTATCAATCTGTTTGAAATTAGTACAAGGTTTCGTTCAAAATTATCGAATTCACATAGGTCACGAGCACATTTTTACCATTTTTTGGTGCATTTGCACGTTAATATACATGTACATACACACTCTAGAAGAGAAATTACCTAAACTTTATTTGCATTACAATTTTTGTGATGAAGTTCTTAATCTTTATTCATTTTCGAAATTACGCCTCAACTTTTTTTTTTAATCACATTCGTACCATCTACCTACTATTAATTAGTGTATCTTGTCTATGATGATGGTTTCGATCCAAAAAATTTAATTAGAATAATGTAAAAAGACTTATTTGTCACTCATATTTTAGATAAGCAAATTAAATAATAAATGCAATAGTTCGACAATATATTTACCATCAATTCGAAGCACATTTATAAAATATTTTAACAGAAATTGTCACCAAAAAAATGCGTCAATTAATTGATGGTTAAGGATAACAATACAACAATAAAAATTGATGACATAAGTGTAAAAATAACTGAAATTTTATATTGTCAAAATGGGCCATTTTAGATGGAACTGTGCAAAATGCCCTTGCACACAATTCTATAATCTGGAATCACCTTGGATCCTAAAGTAGCCTGATTAGGAGTGGTTTTGATAATTGATTTTTTGACTGTTAGGAGAAAAGTAGGGTTCATTTGTAGGAGGAGAAGTCAAATATGACGGTTAAAATAGTGAAATAACGGTTAAAAAATTAATTTTTTTTGAAGAAAAAATCACTCCCAAACAATCTATGAAAATATGTATTTGGTTGAACTTGTTCATATGAACGTAACTTAGAACTCTAAATCAAACAAATAGATTCAAAATAGTATTATTATCATTTTTTTATGTTTTTAGGGATAATGTACATCTAAAAAGAAGAGATTTGTGATAGAGTGAGACAACTTTAGATGATTGAATGTTTGAAAAGAATGGGAAAACTGACGTAAATGGTTCCAAAACTTTGCTCAAGTTGCGTTGTCGTTTCAAACTTTTCAAATGTGGTGCACATGGCCCTTTTATATGGAATCCACCCAAATGCGTTTAGGATCCGTTTGATTGTCAATATTTTTTATGAAAAATGTGTTCTTTCATTTAAATTCCTACTTTTGTATTGTTTGATTAATATTTTTTCCCATGGAAAATATTTTCCTGCTTTTGGTCACGTAACTATATTTTCCTCAAAATCAAGAAAAATATTTTCTCTGGGGGGAGTAAAATTTTATTTTCCAAGTAATTCACTCTCTCTTATCTACACACAAATAAAAATGGACAAATATAATATTTTATAGGTTGAAAATCAAATCAATCGAATACATTTAATTGTTAATTTCCATTTAAATAAGTTTTAAACAATTGAATTGTCTAGAATTTATTTTCTTTTCATGCAAATTTCATACTTGTAATTAAACGCACCCTTAGTTTTATGGGTGCAAAGCAACTACCCTTATTAGTATTTATTTTAAGGGGCGATTTCGTCAAATGATTTTCTTGACTAAAAAAGCTAAAAAAAAATTAATTTAAAAACAAATATATAAAAGTTTCATATTTTCCACCCAACCATGAACCAACCCCACTCCAAGCCACTGATAAACTAGTTTAAGAAATTATTAGAGAACAAACAGCGCTGATTTCACATTTTAAATAATACAATCGATGTTACAATATATAAGTCTTAACATTGAAATTATAACATGATATTCCTTTAATAAATCTTCAATATCCAACTTCCAATGCCTATTATAAAATCAATACACAAGCATATAATAACAAAATCAGAGAACTATAAAACTAACAATTTGAAGATTATACACAACAAAAATAAAAGGACAAGATGGACACACCGTAGACAAGGGAGCAAGCACTCAGTGAGTCATGAAGATCGCCCTTGCTGCCTCTATCGATTTTTTTTTTTCCTTTCATATATTAGGCAGTCTAGATCTACACTAACTCACTTGAATTCCTGAATTCGTCGCGTGTTAAGGGGACACTTTCCTTTTTTTTTTTTTTTTACCATTTAAGCCCTTGTTTGAGCCACATTATTGAAATAAAAATACATTTTTAAATAGTATATTAATGAAAAATGTGTGATTAAAAAATAAGAAAATATTTTGAATTTGCATGTAATATTATTTTATTGAAGAATATGTGATTGAAATCATGTCAAATCAATGTGAAAAATGTATTTATTTTAAATAATGTGGCTCAAACAAGGCATAAATAATTTTCCCTACATAGAATCACAACTTCATTATTTTATTTCATTACTAAGTATAGGGTAAATTCCACCATATGTTTCCAATCTTTCATAAATGTAGCATTTGTATCTTTGCACTTCAAAAAAAAAAAACGAAGAAGAAGAAGAAGGTGACATACATATTCCTTGTCGAAGGAAAATATTTATTTAAACGTTAAATTAACACATAAGTAATAACACTATTGTAATGTCTTTTGTCGAAGGAAAATATTTATTTAAATGTTAAATTAACACATAAGTAATAACACTATTGTAATGTCTTTTCAAAATAAATTCCTCCCCCATTGGTAGACCTTTTTAAAAATGGACCATACTGTGTGTACACAATGATGTACACACGATTTTACATACTCTCACATGGAGGGGGGTCCACACGTAATAAAATATTTGTAGACCCCCCTTCATGTGAGGGGGTGTAAAATCGTGTGTACACTACGACATTATTTTATTGAGAGAATGTATTATTAAAATCTTTATTTATGAGACCTATCTTCTTACTTCAACACGTGACTATGTGAGCATTATAGGGTCATTTAATGTCAAATAAAGGTGTTAGTTGAGCACACGCGTACCATAATTTTAAACTGTTAGAAATGCGAGTGTAATAAATAATAAAATAGAACATAAACGGCAAGTCGGCACGCTGATAAAATATCAACTAAAATTTACTATTCATTAAATGCGCATATGTATCGCCACGTTTGCTTGCCGTATTGTTATAATTTATTATAACTCAATCACAAGGATTGGGCCACCAATTCCTAGAGAAATAGCCACTTTTGATCTCCATTAAATTTTATTTCATTTTTTTTATTTTTAATTACACAATCTTTGAAAAAAAATAATATTACACGTAAATATTTCCTTCTTTTTCAACAATTCATTTTCCAAAAAAAACACCATTCCGCCCATTTTCATTTCTACAAAATGGGGGCCAAAGGGGGCTATGAACTCTTTGACGGTAAGGTAAAATTTATTGTAAATTTGGCCCCTATTTTTTTATGTGAAAATTGATGGAATAATATTTTTTTGAAAAATGAGTGGTGGAGAGAAAAATTTTCGATTTATGTGAAATTTTATTTTATGGAAGATTGTGTGGTTGAAAATAGAAGAGAGAAAAATGAAATGGAATTTAATGGAAGCCAAACAAGGGGCTAAGATTTTTAAAATTACTTTTGCATTCTCATTTACATTTCGATGGATTTAGATTCAAATTTTGCTTCAATGAACATACATAAATAAACTTTTTGTCCCTTGTGGATGTAAAAAAAGATGTAAATTTATATTTTTTATTCTACGTTTTCATTGAAAAATGTAGTTTGCATGTCCTTTGCATCTCTCTATTGAAAAGATTTTTGATCACTTATGAGATTTATATCACAATTTAAATTTATTTTACACCACGTTTGGAGATGCTTAAATTGAAGAATCAAACTCACAACTTACACCTGTCCAAACGATTATTTCGAATGCAATAATGCAGACTAGAAGAACATTGGTGGTGGTGGATTAATGACCAAAACGGGAACTAATACACGCACAAGCAATCATGCTATTCATTCATACTAAAATTTAAATGGAATACATGTCGATACATGATTGGACAATTTGAAAAGTTAAAACAAAAATATCCAATCATTTTCTGACACATTAATCTGTCTCTTCAATTCTTGTTTTTCCATTTGATTAAGTAGCTTTATTCCACGCACAAGTGTCCATCAAAAAGTTTCTGCTTTTTGGTACGACTCTCAAGAAGAGTGTTTGTTTTCTATTGGGGAAAAATGATGGCAGACTGAAGATTAAGCAAAAAAGGTAAACTTACAAACAAATCCAAGGTCACAGAATTTACTTTTTTACTTTTTATCTTTTGGAGTGGGCAATTGAGATGAATATTAAACAAGGGAAAATTTCACTACTAGTCCTCAACCTATTGTTTGAGAGCAAGTTGGTGTTGATTAGTAAATCTTTCATGAAATTTATTTGTAAACCATTACGTTGTCTTTGCATGTGTAATTTCGTAAAGTTAGACTTTCTTTCTTTACTGACTGAATATCCTAAATGAAATCCATCTTCATGAGGGCCATCGGCTATGTTACAATTTATTGAAGATTAGAAGAAATTTCTTTCATTAAGAGCTGATTGCTCAATTACAATAGAAGACAAAAGATTAATTTAGAGCTCTTTTAAGAAAATATTTTTTTAAAATTATTCAAATATATTTAAAAGCAATTTCTTAATTTCAGAAGTAATTTTGACTTTTCAAACGTCATACTAAATTGAGTGGCCTTACTCATTTTCAAAAGTTGGGGATAAACTTATTATAGGTCAATAAGTTGAAGATCCATGGTGAAATTTTCCCATTAAAGTAACATGATTGGTTCCCAATTAATTCCAAATAATACATGCTTGACCATCATTGAATTACTGTTTAATATGTGGACCCCACGTTTCACTGCCCACCCACTAGCAAGGGCAAAATCATAAATAACATAAAAAAACTAACGCCTGAAAATTTTCAGGTGGTTTGGCAGATCAGGTCAATCCCCTCTTTATTTATGCTTTCTATACACGCTCTATCATTAACAGAATTTCTTCTCATATCTCCCAACGGATTCTAGTTAAATACAGTAATTAATGCGTATGGTGTAAGATTTTCTTTTCTTTTCTTCTTCGGAAAAGTTAAATACCATTGGTAACTGATTTCTGGGTAGAGTCCCTGTCTCTCTTCCATTTTCATAGAGAAAAGAAGAATGGGAAATTGCCAGGCGGCGGAGGCGGCGACGGTGGTGATTCAACATCCGGGCGGTAACAAGTTGGAGAGGTTTTACTGGGCGGTGAGTGCTAGTGAGGTCATGACTTCCAATCCTGGCCATTATGTTGCTCTAGTAATCACCTCACCTGTGAATCAGCTCAAACTTCTACGCCCAGATGACACTTTGCTCATTGGACAAGTTTATCGACTCATCACCTTTGAAGGTTGGTACCCTACAATCTTATGATAATCCAATTAAGGCAGTTGTTGAAAATAATGGTTTAATTTGTTTCATGGTGGCGTAGATGTATTGAAAGAGTTTGCCGCCAAGAAAAGTGAAAAGCTAGGCAAGTTATTCAAGGAAAGAGGAGCACTGGATTTAGAACAAAACAAGAGACAGCCTGGTACCAATCCCTACTCCAACTCGAGATTACCAAATGGTAGCTCCACTGAGGTATTCTTCAACAAGAATAATGCTATTCATCACAAGTCTACGGTTGATTTTGTTAATTTTGTTGAATTTTTAATTCATAGTTCTTTGGATAAGTAATGCTATGCAACACCATGGATGTCAAGCACCAATATAAGTGATAACTGCATATCATTAAATAATAGATTCACTAATGTCACATGATTTATTTAATTAAACTTATCGAGTGTGACCACTTAACATTATTCTCTTTGGATGGATTTCTAATCAACCATGTGAGATCAGCCCAGTCGCAGAGAGGTCTCCGACGGCCCTGTCTAGACTCCACCTTGGGATTTTCGTTGGTTGGGCAGACCCAGCTGTATGTGGGGGTGTGGTGGGGGTAATAGCGTTAAGAGGTATTACTCAAATTGAGTACAATATAACGTATGTTGTCAAACTTGAACTAACAATAGCACTAACTGCATTCTATATGAGATAGGATCGGAAAACAACCAATGGACTCCAAAAGAAAAGTAGTGGGGTTACGTAATTAAGGGCCATTTATTTCTTCTATGTATTATATCAGTGCAAAAAAATTTGTATTGCACGTAACTTTATAAACTTCAAATGATGTCTTTACTAGGCAACTTTGTTTCTCCCATGTACGGTGACTGCAACGGATGAAAGTATCACAATACATATAATCATGTTGAGTTAATAGTTTACAATTACTCGTGAACACTCGCAAAAAACCAGACGCGGGACTTTTCATTAGTGAGTCCACTCGACATTACTGCATATGTTGGGGTTAAATGTCAATCATAAAGAGGTTACACGAGCGTTACACACTAATTTTTGACTTTAGAGAAAATAACTGTTGACTAGAATATGATATTGGTTGTTATAGAACTAAACAGTTCATATATAGCTAAGATCGGAGAACAACCAAGAGACTCCAAAAGAAAAGCAGTAGGTCTGGGTAAAGAATAAACTTTTGGTTGAAGGAGTTTGCTTCATAGACTTAAATTTCCATTGAACAAGCAACTTTAGGCCTTAAGTCACTTGTATGACAAGAGAATGGTGAATGCAACAGATGAAAGTATAATCATAATAAATTGTTGCAGCAAACTAAATTAAAAAAACCCAATTCATCATACTTGATAGAAATCTCAGTTTTGCATGTCAATTTGGTATACAAATGTGGTTGAACCAATTAGACCAAGAACGGTTTGGTGATCGTTGCTCTCACGCGTCTTTTATTTAACGATCAATCTATCTTGTCTTCTTGGTGCAATTTTCAGATGAGGCAGGAGCTTCTAGGGCTCAACCCATATCCTCCCTTAACTTTTCCAATTTTCTGGAACCTAGCCTCACCCATGCAGATCCACCTCCCCCACTCCCTGACACTCGTTCTTCACAACTCACTCAATCCAGTTCTAATCCATGTATTATGTGTACTGATCCAGTGATTGAGTCTTTGCAGGATCCTCATTCTCTTGCAGGTACCTCTTTACAGACTTCGGTTCCAAGTTCATCTCCTCTTGAACCTCGTGCAGATCTCACACCTACTGCAGTGGTCTCGTTGGCCACTCATCCTATGCTTACAAGAGCTAAAGCTAGCATTTTCAAGACTCGATATCCAGCCAATCTTAGTTTCTTGGGCTTTTCTGGTCTTCTTTCTGCTCCCAGCCAATCTTAGTTTTTTGGGCTCTTTTGGTCTTCTTTCTGCTCTTTTTGCATCAACTGAGCCCAAAGGTTTCAAATCTGCTGTTAAAAATCCTGTTTGGCTTGCTGCCATGGATAAAGAAATTCATGCATTATAGAATAATCGCACCTGGGTTTTGGTACCTCGCCCTGCCAACACCAACATTGTGGGCTCCAAATGGGTATTCCGAACCAAATACTTACCTGATGGATCTGTTGAGCGCCTTAAAGCCCGCCTTGTTGCCAAAGGTTATACACAGGTCCCTGGTCTTGACTATACTGATACTTTTAGTCCCGTAATCAAGGCTACTACTGTTTGGGTTGTACTCTCTCTCGCTGTTACACAAAAATGACCCTTTCATCAACTTGACGTCAAAAATGCATTCCTCAATGGTACTCTTACTGATCAAGTTTATATGGAACAGCCTCAAGATATATTGATCCTCGCTTTCCAAACCATGTTTGCCAGTTGAAGAAAGCTCTCTATGGTCTCAAACAAGCCCCTCGTGCTTGGTTTCAGCGCTTCGGTTCCTTTATTATTCGCCTTCGATTTTCTTGCAGCCGTGCGGACACATCTCTATTTGTCTTTCATCAAAAGTCCGATATTATCTATTTACTTCTTTATGTTGATGATATCATTATTACAGGCAACAATTCTTCACTTCTTGCCCGCTTCACTCGTACACTTAACTCTGAGTTTGTCACTAAAGACTTAGGCTCTCTCAGCTATTTTCTTAGTCTTGAAGCCACTCCAACTTCTGATGGTCTCTTCATCAGTCAGCTCAAATATGTACGGGACATTCTTACTCGAGCTCAATTACTTGACAGTAAACTTGTTCACACGCCCATGATTGTTTCTCAACATCTTTCTGCTGATGGTTCTCTGTTTTCAAACCCTACTCTATATAGATCCCTCGTCGGTGCACTACAGCACTTGACTATCACAAGGCCCGACATTGCTCATGCTGTCAACTCTGTCAGTCAATTCTTACACGCTCCCACTAATGATCACTTTCTGGCTGTTAAACGCATCCTCCGCTATGTTAAAGGCACCATTCACTATGGCCTACATTTTCGCCCTTCCACTTCTCCTGGTGCTCTTGTAGCCTATTCTGATGCTGATTGGACCGACTGCCGGATACTCGTCGTTCGACCTCTGGTTATTCTATCTTCTTGGCGACAATTTAGTTTCCTGGAGTGCCAAGAAACAGCCGACTGTCTCTCGTTCCAACTGTGAATCTGAGTATCGTGCCCTTGCCTCACGTAATTGAAGGAGGCTAATTTATACGGTTTCCATTTCATTTACACGGTTTCCATTTCATTGTAAATTATTGATTTGTATTCCATTTATACTATCTTGTAAAGCTCTATATAATACAATACGATACACCACTGAAATTAAGGTGGATTTTAATCATTCTTAGGCCCTAACCTACAGCCAGAGATGAAGTTCAATGAATGGGATTCCGGCATATTGAAAGTAATCCTTTCCCGACTTAAGATGTACATGTGTATTTTTAGGTTCTAAATCATTTCAGTAAAATCCATACTAAAGTAATATGAAAAGCGTATTTCTCAAATACACAACTTATGAAGGATATATTTGTCTTTCTTCACTTATGGCTTAGTTGAATGTGGATGGTCACTTGGCAACCCCGACTGGCTGCTTGACCTTCACTTGAGTTGTGCTAATTGAAAGGAACTTTGGACTATCAATGGCTGAGATTAGTCCCTTGGTTTTAATAATTATAGCTCTTGGTTGTGACGGTTTGACTCATTCTTTTAGTTTCTGAGTTTTGAGAGTTAAGAGTATGTTTCTCTCTCTAAATCTTTGGGTTTTTCTCATCTTCTTCCTAATTCTATTGGTTTGATGTCTCATGAGATCCTAATCCCTTTACTGAAAACCCGTGAAAATAGTTATGCTACAATAACTTTTGGCCTGTGAGAACAACAAATAAACTTGTATGGTGGTGAGGTTGTGGTTTTGGTGTATGTGTTGATTAAAGGTTGCCATTTGGGAGATCCTCTGGGATCAAGGATCAAATCAAGTTCTAATTTGGGTCTTTGGAACATTGTACTCTTTCTTGGACGTCATTCTTGCACATGGTAGTGGACTGATCTCTGAGCCCCCAGATTAGGCATATTGCTGAACTTGGTGAATAATCCTTCGTTATTTTCTATTTTCTACGTGCTTAATCTTTTACTTCCAGTATTATTACTTTGGTGTGGGTCAAAATACCCAAAAACTACAATACAATGTCACCTTATAGCGATAAAATGTTACTTTGCATATCTAAGAGATTTCACAACAGAAGGCTTTGAATGACAGGATATACATTTGACAAAATTTAGAAAGATCCTGATCTAAGATTTAGCCCACGTTTGATTCCCATTCATTAGCCATAAAAATGAAAAATATGACCGTTATCCATCACATCAAGTCACCATATTTAACTTTTTATCTCTTGTGTGGATCTCGTAACGACCATATATTTCATTTTCATTCTTAGAAAGATGGAAATCAAACGAGGCCTTAACTTTGTTTAGTGCCATGAAACCAACAAGTACTCGTAACAAATTATATGACAGATGAGGTGGAGAGAAGTTGCATACACAATAGCAGAAACGGCACGACAGTACCGCTCCCACATACTCCGAAATCTGGGTTGTCCACCAAGATCCCACAACTTTATTGTGACATTTCCTTTGGTCACTTTCCGCATATTAAATCCCACCTGAAAAACAATACAGTATCATCATATCATCACAGTCATGAGAGTAAGCAATGATTATAAAGCCAAAGCTCAAGGAGACAACTAACCGTAGGGATCATGTCTTCACTATATCCACCAGTCTGGGAGATAGAGCAAGAAAGGAAAACACTCAAACGCTTTCACCAATCAACTAATAAAAATAACTAGATAACTCTGCAAATATGCATGACAAGTTGATTAAGATCTGTTTACTAACAGCGATAACATTTACAAGTGAAGTCTTTCCAGCATTTTGAAGACCTATCAATGAAAGCTCCATTTCCTGCTTGAAAAAGAGGCTGTAACCACATAAACAATATATTAAGTCAAGCCAGATTGAAAGCAATCTCATATACCATGGGAGGAATATATTGTAGTAAAAACATAAATGCACAGTTATTTGAATTTATCTGAAAGACAATTTCCTAGAATTTCATACTATGCTCCTGTCAGATAAAGTTCCTAGCCAAAACTTATTCCCCTTAAAAACCTTAATAGAACTCATTTCCAGGAACAAATGTGAAGCTAAATTAATAGTCAACTATCTCGTAGCAGCACAAAAATATTGAACTGATATTTTATCTTATCATCCAATGAAACTTAATCGTAAGAGATTAATGGACAATCATTAATAGGCAAGACAAATCAGTAGCACTTCAGCCAAACTTCACACTTTATGTGTTCAAACTCTATAACACTATTCTGTGAGCTAGCTTAGCTCATCATCTAATCAGTTGGACTGTAATACATTTTGACAGAGAATTCCAAATGCTGATAACCCTGAAGCAATAAGCTTGCCAAGCCATCAATATGAACAACGACACTCAATTCTCTACAATGTAGTAATTTGCAAATTTATTACTTAATTGCGTTCAGAAGATGATTGATTGGGTAATAAAACGATGCTTGATCAGTTGTTCTTACTTTCGAGCTTTCAACTAAATAGTTGCACACCATGAGTTTGCTATAATATGTTATCTGACTAACCAGTAACTAGAGTCCCAGACATAGTACGCATTAATTGTGAAATGTGATAACACCATGGGACATTTTTGCTCATAAAAACTTAGATGTAGAAGAAGAAACTGAAAGTTATTAAAAAAAGCATAAACATGAAGCATTCAAAGACAGGAAAAATAATATATTTACCGAATTATAGCAGGTCAAGGATTACTTTCATCAACAAGAACTACTACGCGTAAACTGGTAATTGAGAATCTTAAGAAACATTACAAAGGGTTACTGGGGTCAAGCATAATACTATAACAACCAATCTGCTAATTGGTCTAACCAGTGTAGTAATCTGATTCTCTAGTTCTCTTGTTGTTTTTTTCCATAGTTTCAACTGAATTTTTTAACTTCCACAACCTTGTATGGCCTAGTTAAATTAGCAGTAGGCTGTGACCAAACCAGCATTGGAAAAACTAGAGCAGTGGAAATTCCACCTAATTCTAACGGTAATGGAAGCATTTCCCAACTTAATGAAAGTGTAAACCATCATTAGTTGTATGGTGGATCATGATCTGTAATAGCATGTTCCTAGCAATTTTTGAATAGATGAGAAAATCACCCAGCTATTAGGAAACAAGAAAATTGTAAGAACATGGTTCAGAAGTCTGTAAACAACGCAAAACTAATTTGCAAAGTAGAATTATCAAAACCAAGAGAAATCAATATGAAGAAAAGATAGCGGTGAACATGGCCAGAGTAATAATGATTAACAAAAAGCAAATTTGGGATTGTGTAAATACTTGTAAAATGGAGCGCACAAAAAAAAAAAAAAAAGAAAAAAAAAAAAAAAAAAAAAAAAAAAGAAAAAAAAAAAGAAAGAAAAAAAAAGCCATTTATTCATTAATATGAGCACTGATTCAAATCCTATTCAAGAATGTCTGGTTAAGCTATACACTGGTTTTATTGAATAAACACAATTTACACAATATCGACTATTAGATTTAATTAGACAAATACTGATTTGCTGAATTAACAGTCTATATATTTGTATAAAAAAAGTACAAAGTAATAGTCATATCTAACATAATAATCCCAAAATGCTCAATCACGTACTGAATGCCAAGATTATCCAGACACAATTAAAAACGGGAGGTTTTGCAAATTAATCGTAACAGTAACATAAGATAAAAGCAAACAACACAAAGCTACTAAATTTAATTTCCCAAAGAACACCACTGTTCAAAAATTAAATTTCTGGGGGGAGATGGTAAGAAGAAAACTTCAAATAATAAACAAAAAGTAGATCTCAGCTAAAAATAAGCCATAAATTCCTCAATGTAAAATAAAAAACTTTCATGATAAATCAGCCTAGAAATTCTTGTCATAGATTACCCGATTCATAACCGACGATTCACTACTTAAGTCCATAAGAAAAAATAAAAAATAAATTCAATGCTACAAATATTAATAATGCAAAGTTCTGTTGAGTAAATTTTGAAATCAACCTTCGGAGCCAATTAAGAAATGCTTCCCAAACCCCCATATCTTGTCAGCACGAAAAATTGAAGACGGAATTGAGAGAGAGAGGAGTTTTCTGAGTTCAAAGAGATGATCGATCTCTCTCTATTCGTCTTCTTTTCAAAAAGATATTTGTGGAATTGATGATTATATACTAGACTAGATACAAATTTGCATTCATGTTCAAAAATTAGCATGCCAATGATGAGTGGCAGGCGAAAATCTTGGATCATCTTCGCCACTAAACTTGATAAAATTTACGGGTTTGCCTCATCTGGGCCAGATAGATTTCGCTGTATCATTGAATTCGTGGACCAATTATAAAGGTCCATAATGTGGAATCCTCCTCTGACTCGCTAGAAGGGAGCGTGATACTATGAGAGCGACGCACTGAAGTTCATGTGTATGACGTGTACTAATGGCACCTTCCCATTGGTTGATAACAAATAGATTTTAAGAAAAGACTCCTTGATAAGGTCACATGAAAATGGAGCCCTGACCATATAGGACCCATGTGGTCCTGGACTTATAACACCCCTCTAGATTTTATGTCCTTGTCTGGTAGTCATTAAAATTAAATTTTTAGTATATTACAAGAAATTTAGTCCTTTTCTACAAAATTTTTATTGACAACTTAAGATTTGCAGGCGAAGTTCACTTTTCCCCACGAAAAAGATGTTTTTAGGGCTATGATTTATTTCAAGTTTTTCAATAGTAGGATGCATTGTGCCTACAATTTTTCTTTTTTCTTTACCAGACATAAACATTTATGGGCAAGATATATCTTTTGGAGACATAATATTCGACATGATTGCAGTACGCTAATAATTAATTAGCAGGAAAAATTTGCTTATATTTATAATTTTTGTCCCTCCCAAAAGTAATTTGAAGTGAAAGATCTCATTTTCTACAAAATTTTTATTGACAACTTAAGATTTGCAGGCGAAGTTCACTTTTCCCCACGAAAAAGATGTTTTTAGGACTATGATTTATTTCAAGTTTTTCAATAGTAGGATGCATTGTGCCTACAATTTTTCTTTTTTCTTTACCAGACATAAACATTTATGGGCAAGATATATCTTTTGTAGACATAATATTCGACATGATTGTAGTACGCTAATAATTAATTAGCAGGAAAAATTTGCTTATATTTATAATTTTTGTCCCTCCCAAAAGTAATTTGAAGTGAAAGATGAAAAAATGAAAAGATAAAGAGAAAGTATAATTATTATTTTTTTTTATCAAAATAAAAAATATCAAAGCATGCTAACTCTAAAAATCCACCACATATGTACCCACTCTCTATTTGCCTCTAAAAATTTTCACCAAAAATTCTTCCCGCTTATTGGCTTAACTTCATCATTGATTGCTACGAAAGCCTAATTAATTCAATTTGCCTACCCTCAAAATTTCTTGTGGATCCCATGGTTGCAATCTCAATCTCTTCATCTATCACAGTATTGACTTTTGGTCAATAAATTCCTGCTTAATCTTTTACGTACAGATTGTGTTCTTCAAGCAGTCTTAAAGGTATGCCTTTAGCTTTGTTTTAATCTTTGATTAACCTTTCAACTTTGTGTAATTAGATCTGGTGTTTCTATTGATTTTTCTGAAATTCAAAGAATTTGTTTAATCTGAACTATTGGATTTATATGACAGTTTTAATCTTTAATTAATTATTCAAATATATCTTTTCTCAAACAGAAATTTTGCATTTTTAATGATGCTTGATTACTACAGTTTTTATTATTTTCTTTTGTTTCCCCATTTTAAACTTGTAATAACGTAGTTTAACCCAAATATCACCTAGAGGTGGGTGAATAGGTTTTTATGCGGAATTTTACAAATTAATTAATAAATGCAACAAATCACTTATTATTAGTCGTCTAGTTGATTAAACAATCAAGTTCAATTAATTCCTAAGGTTGAATTGTCGGTTTGTAACGCGTAAAGTAAATAAAACAGTAAAAACACAACTCACGATATGATGACGGAGAAACCCCAATGTGGGTAAAATTCCGGGAGCAAGCCAGTGACTTCCACTATTCCAATTCAGCAAGTACAAGTTCCCAAACTCCGTACCCAATCAGACCAGCTGTTCCAGTCTCACGATCTACTATCGTAGATGCAACTAGTCTCCTACTAGATTTTCCGATCTAGCTCCTGCAATCTAATCTGCTATCTACTACAGCCTCCTAGTTCTTAGCTGATTGTATCACCAAGTGGAATTTCAAGAACCGTCTGTTCTTGTCCAACTCACTGCGCTTGACGTCCACCTCTCTTAATCCCCAGTGAGAGAGTCCATTCCTCAAAAGATTAAGGAACTACAGTGTTCTGAATTATGGATTTGATGTTTTCCAAAACACGGTTGCTAGATAACCAGAGTGATATAGATGGAATCACCAATTAATTTCTCCTTGGATTACTTCAATAATAATATGTATATGTTTCTCTATTTTTCTCCAACAGTCGCCCACTATTTGTTAATTAAGAAGTCCAATTCCCTACCTCCTTTGCCTGCTTTCGGTTCCAGTAAGTACATCTCTTTCCACCTTGGAACTTCAATGTTTGACTACCAAAATGGGACTCCAATTCTCTTCCAACATTCGGCTTTCTATGGGCGTATATATATGTATTTAATTCAACTTTGCAACCCACTAATTCTTTCCCAGCAGCTGACTGAATTTATCAATTCAACCACTCAATTTTTGTGTTTTTATGTAGATATATCTTCAGTAGCCAGCATCTTGTCTTCCTCAATTCCTGTGCATATATATGAGACAATTTCAGCCACCTTTTCTATAGTTTTTATCTCCTATAGTTGCCTTTTCTCTTGTTTGTATAATATAGTTTACCCACCATGTTTGACTCTTGAAAAACTACCACAATTTGTATATATATATATATGATATATTTCATAGCAGTCAGCCTTTAAGTTATTTTCTTCAACAAGAAGCAACCCTTTTTTCTTCTATTTTCCGGCTAGAGACGTATACATCAATATATTTTGGCTGCCCTCCATTTTTTTTTTGTTTCGTTCATTTGCGTGTCTATATAAATAGACTTTAACTTATGGGCCATAATTTTTCAAGCTCAAACCCTAGTCCAACTCAAGTATACAATATTGCACTTCATGCCTAGACTTTTAGACAAGTTTAACTAAGTTCTTTTTTGTTCATAGAATGCCAATTACAATTAAAAACCTAACAATCTCCCCCTTTGACATTCTGTGACAAAACTATACAAATTCAAGTCAAGGGATTACAATCAATTAAAAACCTAAATTACACAAAATTCGAATCATTGAGTCTTGCATTCTTTGTTGTATTAAAACCTCACATACCCAGTGTAAAAGCACGTGATACAGGAAATATAAATATTAAAGCATTTAATCACAATTCAACATGCTAGTTTGAGACATGACATTGATGCTAATCAAAACACCGACCGAAACACCAATATCACTAAATATCAAAACTCAAACAGCAATGGATATGATATAGAATGCAATGCAATGCAACGCTCCCCCTTACTGCGAACTCTCTTAAATGTTATGCAGTAAATCATTGTATCTATGTCTCCCCCTCAGTTACACTTTTCTTTTCCTCTTTTTGTCACAAATGCTGAAGGGTATCGTGTTAAGTACAATCTGAGCAATATCACATAATAACTTAAAAATGCAGTTGGTAGGATGAAAAGATAAAACCAATAAGTCATAGACCTTCCCACATACTCAGTTCAGATTAGAATGGAGTAAAAAAATACAAGTGACTCATGTGTGAAAGTGTCACTATTCCAATGCATGTGGGACTCCAAACCTTAATTTTGTGAGAAGGGAATGCCAATCACTACCAATAAGTATATTCTCCTACTAATGAAAGTCAAACCATGTAATGTGCAGTAGGACCGATACGTATCATTTTTACTCATCTTCTTCTTACTATAAGCTTTTATATTTTTCAGATTTTCATATTATTCCAGCTCTTCATATTTTTCACATTTTTCTAGCTCATTAATTTTTCATCTTAAGTGCAGGTTCTTCTCCATTAGGCGACTAAGGTGACCCTAGTAGCGAGTTTTAGGCCGGTTAACTCAATTCAATTGACCATAGGCACCAGATATTAAGAGACCCCACAGGCTTAGTTGCTCGAATCAAATAGGCCCCGAAGAAGAATATTAAGATATGAGCTTTCATATAATGGGAGAATTATTTTCGGGTTTAGGTCTACTAAAAATTGGTCAATTCATGTTCAAAGTTACCCTATTAACATGTGACAGTCATCCCAAATCTCACGCACACGGTAGAGTTCCACTAACAAATTCATAGTGGGTGTAGTACAGATGGTACATGAAGACACCTATACTAAGTACTCCATGATGACCTAAACAAGCAATGAAAATAATGCTACAACTTATCCATTTTAGCTCATACACAGCCACAACATACAAGTTTCAGAATTATATATCAACCTGTAGAAATTTTCCCTTATTTATTTATATTTTATTTTAACATGAATGCGCTACACAGTTGTGTCACCTCATTTATTTATTTATTTTTTATATGATGAGATGACAAACATATGAAGAAGAAACATGCAAACAAAATGAACATGTAATGAAATGAATGTAAAAATGGACACGGAGGTGAGCTGTACATGAATGAACTATAAAACTGGTCAAGGAGGTACACAAACACCAACAACCTTCTTAAGTGACTCGAACCTCAGACCATCTAAAGATTTAGTGAACAGATCTGCAAGTTGATTTTCTGTAGCAATGTGTTCAAGGGATACCACATTGGACTCAACAAGTTCATGGATGAAGTGATGACGAATATCAATATGTTTAGTCCTAGAATGTTGAACAGGATTTTTGGAGATGTTGACAGCGCTGGTGTTATCACGAAACACGGTCATGGTGCCCTGATTTATCCTATAATCACTCAACACTTGCTTCATCCAAAGCAATTGAGTGTAGCAGCTACCGGCTGCAATGTATTCTGCCTCGGCTGTAGACAAAGAAATTGAGTTTTGTTTCTTACTCGTCCATGACACAAGTACAAAACCAACATAGAAGCATCCACCCGAGGTACTCTTCCTATCATCCGCATTTCCAGCCCAATCGACATCAGAATAGCCGACGAGTTCAAGATTTGACTCTCTGGAATATAAGATCCCATGATTTACAGTCCCATTCACATACCTAATGATACGTCTCACTGCACTAAAATGGGATTTCTTAGGATCTACCTGAAATCTCGTACACACGCCAACACTGAAAGCTATGTCACGTTTACTGGCTGTAAGGTAGTTAGAGTAAGCTACCTATCATACTCCTATACAATGTCTGATCAACACTTCTACCTATAGGATCATGACCTAACTTAGAACTCGTGCTCATAGGTGTCCTTATGTGTTTTTTACTATCCAGTCCAAATCGCTTAGCTAGGTCTTTGACATATTTTGATTGAGAGATAAACAACCCATAGTCAGTTTGCTTTACTTGAAGGCCAAGGAAGTAACTTAGCTCTCCAACCATGCTCATTTCAAATTCTCGTTTCATACATTCAGCAAATTCATGAATAAGGGAGTTAATGGGAGAGCCAAACACAATATCATCAACATAGATCTGTGTTATAGTTATGGTTTCTTCAATATGTCTAATGAATAGAGTTCTGTTTGCACCACCTCGGGAAAAACCATGATCAATGAGATATGCAGTGAGTCTGTCATACCAAGCTCTAGGAGCTTGTTTCAAACCATATAAGGCTTTATTCAATTTGTAGACATAATGGGGAAACTTAGGATCGATGAATCCTTTGGGTTGTTCAACATATGCCTCTTCTTGAAGTATTCCATTCAAGAAGGCACTCTTGATATTCATTTGATACAGTTTGAACCCTAAAGTACAAGCAACCACAAGAAGGATGCGAATGAACTCAAGACGTGCAACAGGGGCAAATGTCTCATCAAAATCTATCCCTTCAACCTGAGTATACCCCTGAGCAACTAGCCTAGCCTTATTTCTTGTTATGGTTCCTTGGTCATTGGTCTTGTTCTTGAAAATCCACTTAGTACCTATCACATTGCAATCATCAGGCCTAGGCACTAGATACCAAACATTATTTCGAACAAATTGATTAAGCTCCTCATGCATTGCATTCACCCAACATTCATCTTTAAGAGCTTCCTTAACTTTCTTAGGCTCAATCTGGGATACATAACTTGTATATGTTAGGTTATTCAGAACTCTCTTTCTTAACCTTATACCTTCATCCAGATCTCCAATGATATTGACCTTAGGATGGTTAGATTTGACCCTGGATCATGGTTCTCTAGGAAGCTTAGTTTGTTCACTAGGTGAAGGATCTTTAACAGAAATGTCTATGCCTTTGGGGATCGCGGAGATTTTGGAATTGATTGTTCTTTATCCTTAGTCGTGGGTCCTTGATCATCACTTAGATCATCTAAACCTAATCCATTTTCAACTTTCTCTCCTTTAGAAAGCATCATCAACAACAACATTTATAGACTTCATGACATTCTGAGTACGTAAGTTGTATACTCGATAGGCTCTACTGTTCTTAGAGTACCCTAGAAAAAACCCTTCATCACTTTTGGAATCAAACTTGTCTAAGTTTTCTCTGTCCCTCAGAATGTAGCACTTGTTGCCAAACACACAAAAGTATTTAACAGTAGGCTTCTTGCCCTTCCAGATCTCATAAGGAGTCTTATCGGTTTTCGGTCTCAGGTATACTCTGTTCACTATGTGGCAAGCAGTATTAATAGCTTTACCCTAGAAATGCATTACTAGATCCTTGTCGTGAATCATGGCTCTAGCCATTTCCTGTAGCACTCGATTTTTCCTCTCAACAACCCCATTTTGCTGTGGAGTGATTGTTGAGGAGAACTCATGCTGAATCCCCTCCTCCAAACAGAAGTTTTCAAGATTAGAGTTTTCAAACTCTTTTCCATGATCACTTCGAACCCTAGAAATGGAAAGATTTTGTTCAATTCCGAGTCTTTTACACAAGGATTTAACCAAATCACAAGTCTCAGATTTTTCTCTTAGTAGCTCAATCCAGGTGTATCTAAAGAAATCGTTTACCACAACAAGAATATAACGTTTACCTCCTAGGCTCTCAATCCTAAAAGGTCCCATTACATCCATATGGAGAAGTTCTAAGGGTCTGTTTGTCAAGATTGTAGATGTTTGTTTATGATTTATCCTAAGTTGTTTTCCTTGATGACACGGCTTGCACACAACATTTTCATTTTGTTCAATTTTAGGTAAACCATCAACAATTTTCTTTTTGACTAATTTTGACATGCTTTTATAATTAATATGGCCGAGTCTTTAAAGTTCGGACATATCAATTTTAGCACTGCTGCACACATAGTTAGAGTTTGAGAGAACTCCATAACAGTTATCAGGCGTTCTAACACCTTCAAGGACAACACCACCTGAAGAGTCATAAATAGTACATCTCTTTTGAACAAAACTCACTTTATAGTCAGCATCACAAATTTGACTAATGCTCAATAGATTGGACTTAAGATCCTCTACATAAAGCACATTAGATATAGTAGGAAGTCCAGATATGTTGATGGTGTCGTTACCACGGATAGGTGCCGTACCCCTGTCTCCAAAGGTAACTACACCACTGTTGCAGTCATCAAAGGTAGAGAATAAGGTCTTATTACCACACGTGTCTAGAACAAGCACTATCAAGATACCATATATATGTATTTTGAGCCTTATATGCAACATGAGCTACAGAAAAATTTGAATTCTCACAATACCTATCCACATCAAATTTCTTGACCTAAACTTTTCTAGAGATCGAGGTAATCCTAGTCAATTTTGTCACCATCTCAGTTAAGTGACTAACCTGATTTGAAAGGAAGTTTACTTGACTAGGGATATCCTGACTTCTATTCCTATCTGCTAGCTTATGACACCTAGGTCTCGTGTGTCCTAAAGCACCACAGTGATGACAAGTGGGTATGAGCCTAGGCTCAAATGCATGTGATTGTTGGTGCTGAAATTTTGGTGTAGAATTCTTATGGGCTCTAGTGGCATTCAGTTCAGTAACACTCTTACTTTTGGATTCACGATTGATTGAAATGCTAGAATAGTTGGAAGCAGGCACGAATGTGGTCTTGGATGAACTAGTTACGTTGCTATCACTCTTCACAAATCCTAGACCTTGCCTATTCCGAGTTGGTTTGTTCATTCCTAACAGGTCGTCTAGTTTCTTAGTCCCACTCATAAAAGACTGTAGTTGAGTATTAGATTTCTCTAACTCACAAGTTAGTCTTTTAACCTTGTCCTCCAGCTTCTCATTGACACACTTTAACTCACTAAGGTTTTTAGATGAGACCTGAAGATCATTAGTGGGTCTCTCTTTCTCTCTCTCAAGCTCGCCTACCTTTTTAAATAGGGCCTTATTTACTTTTTTGATCTTGAGGCTCTGTTTAAATAGAATTTGGTAAGCCTCATGTATATCCGCCTCATCCTCAGTATCTTCACTAGACTTCTCACTCTTTACATCCTTTTCAACCTTCTCACTGTCCTTATCTGACTCACTCTTAACTGTAGACACAAAAGTCATATAACCCTTTTCATCTTCACCGTTGGAGGAATCACTTGAGCTTGAATCATCATCAGTTAATGACACAGCTAATGCCTTACTCCTTTCCTTTTTTAGATTTTTCTTAAAGTTAGGGCATTTATTCCTATAGTGCCCAAATCCCTGACACTTATGGCACCTAACAACTTGAGATTTCTTACTAGAATTCCTAGCAGTTGGTTATCACACTTCTCTTTTTGAAATTTACTAGGGGCTCTTCTCTTTTTGTCTTGGGGCCATCTCTTGCCCTTTAAAGCTTTCTGGAACTTCTTTACGAAATAAGCTATTTCCTCATCTCTAAGGGTTTCTATGTCAGATGCCTCAGACTCTTCTTCTCTAATCGTGTTCAGCACTATAGACTTGATTTTCTTAGGTTGTGAGATGGTGAGTTCATAGGTTTGAAGAGATCCTACGAGTTCTTCTATCTTAACTGTGCCCAGATCCTTACTCTCTTCAATCGCCATAACCTTAGGTTTAAATCTCTCGGGTAAAGACCAAAGAACCTTTCTCTCAATTTTTGACTTGGAAATCTTTTCACCTAGGTTGAAACTAGAGTTTACAATGTCATTCAATTTTGCATAAAACTCATCAAACGATTCATCATCCTTCATCCCGATTTCTTCAAACCTAGAGGTTATCATTTGCAATTTTAAATTTTTTACAGTTTTAGTTCCCTCATGCGTAGTCTCTAGAATGTCCCATACCTCTTTAGCAGTTTCACACATTGATACTTTCCTAAATTCTTCGGGAGACACGACCATAAACAAGACATGAAGTCCTTTGATATTCCAATTGCAATCAACTAATTCTTCCTTAGTCCAACGTAAAAAATCAGTTAGATTGACAACACCTGACACAGTTGTAGAAGGAGGTTTCCAACCATTTTGTACGTTCACCCAAACACGTTCATCTAAGGACTTAAGAAAAGTATGCATCCTAACCTTCCAGTAGGCATAGTTGCTTCTGTCAAAATATGAAGGCACAGGCAGTATTGACTCATCTAGACAACAATCGGCCAGGACTCGAGTTTTGGCTCTGATACCACATGAAATAACGTAGTTTGACCCAAATTACGCTTAGAAGGGGTGAATAGGTGTTTATGCGAAATTTTACAAATTAATTAATAAATGCAATAAGCCACTTATTATTAGTCATCTAGGTGATTAAACAATCAAGTCCAATTAATTCCTAAGGTTGAACTGCCTGTTTGTAATGCGTAAAGTAAATAAAACAGTAAAAACACAACTTACGATATGATGACGGAGAAACCCCAACGTGGGTAAAACTCTGGGACCAAGCCAGTGACTTCCACTATTCCAATTCAGCAAGTACAAGTTCCCAAACTTCGTACCCAATCAGACCAAATGTTCCAGTCTCACGATTTACTGTCGTAGATGCAACTAGTCTCCTACTAGATTTTCCAATCTACCTTCTGCATTCCAATCTGTTGTCCACTACAGCCTCCTGATTCTTAGCTGATTGTATCACCAAGTGGAATTTCAAGAACCGTCTGTTCTTGTCAAATTCACTGCGCTTGACGTCCACCTCTCTCAATCCCCAATGAGAGAGTCCGTTCCTCAAAAGATTAAGGAACTATGGTGTTCTGAATTATGGATTTGATGTTTTCCAAAACACGGTTGCTAGATAACCAGAGTGATATAGATGGAATCACCAATTAATTTCTCCTTGGATCACTTCAATAATAATATGTATATGTTTCTCTATTTTTCTTCAACAGCCGCCCATTATTTGTTATAAGAAGTCCAATTCCCAGCCTCCTTTGCCTGCTTTTGGTTCCGGTAAGTATATCTCTTTCCACCTTGGAACTTCAATGTTTGACTACCAAATTGGGACTCCAATTCTCTTCCAACTTTCGACTTTCTGTGGGCGTATATATATGTATTTAATTCAACTTTCCAACCCACTAATTCTTTCCCAGCAGTTGACTGACTTTATCAATTCTATGTAGATATATCTTCAGTAGCCAACACCCTGTTTTCTATAGTTTTTATCTCCTACAGTTGCCTTTTTTCTTGTTTGTATAATATAATTTAGCCACCATGTTTGACTCTTGAAAAACTACCACAATTTGTATATATATATGATATATTTCACAGCAGGCAGCCTTCTAGTTATTTCCTTCAGCAGCAAGCAACCCTTTTTTCTTCTATTTTCCGGCTGGAGACGTATACATCAATATATTTTGGCTGCCCTCTTTTTTTTTTTTTTTGGTTTAGTTCATTGGCGTGTCTATATAAATAGACTTTAACTTATGGGCCATAATTTTCCAAGCTCAAACCCTAGCCCAACTCAAGTATACAATATTGCACTTCACGCCTTAACTTTTAGACATGTTTAACTAAGTTCTTTTTTGTTCATAGAATGCTAATTACAATTAAAAACCTAACAAAACCGAATGCAGTCGCTAGGATTTTGAAGTATTCATGGTAGTTTTAGTTTACTTCTTTGAAGAAAAAAGGTATAATTAACTTCAAAGAAATTCTGTTTTATTGAAATGGAATTGATCAATTGTGACATTATGTTTAGGGGGAGTGAAATTGGAGTTGTGATTGTAAAAGATTTATTTTAATATTTTTTTCTGATTTTAATTTCAAGGTGATAAATTCCATTTCATGATCTGCTTGTAATTCATTTCTTTGTAATTTACATATACTTATTTGTGATACAATCAAGGGTGAAGCCACATTTGATACTGCCCTCTGAATTTTGGAAGAATACGAAATAAAATATATGAGGGGCAGGATCATTCATGACATTTTAGAAATTGACTACCCACATCGTAATGTGCTTTTTTTTAAAAAGATTTTTAAATTGGGTGAACAATTTAATTTTAGTTGCTGGTTCCGAATTGATTCCAAGTGCCTCCTTTTAAAGTGCATATTATTTATGATAGTTTTAGGTAGGTGATAAATTATGATGAATGACATGTTGCACCTAATTATCTGATGTATTCTTCCATATTGTCTTTAAATATATCATATTGATGGAAAAAATTATCTTTCTTCGTATTTTGAATCATTAATGATGAAGAATTATATTCTCATGTTTATTTTAGGCCTAATTTTGTATCGTATTGTTTCTCATTTGAATAGACAATTTTGATTATTAGTTAAAATAATTTGTAGGGGCTGTACAAAGAGTTTTAGATAACAGAGCTTCCTTCAATTCAAATTGCAATAAGGTAAGTTCGTAAATTCAAGTAGGCTATCATCAAGTTGTTTGATAGTGTAAAATCTTTAATGATGTTATAAACAACTAGTTTACTTTGGTTGGTGCTTTGATGTATATTGTTAACTGAACAAATCTAAAAATTTCATAATTGAACTTTCACGTTAAATTTTTATTAGATTGACCTATACTTTTTGTATATCATTTCATTTGTAGAGTCATATATAGCGGCTACACTATGGATAGAAATTGGATACATAATCCCGATAGAACTAGTGCTGAATATTTGCTAAGGATTGAGGAATTCGTTAGAGTTGCAAGCAATTGTGTCAATCATCCAAGTCATTTTGAGTGCTTGTGTCAAAAGCGTTATAATTGCTCTTGGAGGCCAGTAAGTGAAATTTGACAACACTTGTTCATGCATGGGATGTCATACAATTATACTAAATGTAATCGTCATGGTGAATGATCGGGGGCCATGTCGGGTTCTTTTACCACTAACTTGTTTAGCAACTCTAGTCTGATTGATGCACTGATTTTGATAATGATCAAGTAATGGATATAATTAATGATATGTATCCACATGCCTCGCACCATCATAAGCAAAAGGTATTAGAAAAAGATGAAGTATTACTTGATGATGATACATTGGGATATAATCAGATGTCTAAGATGCATGGGCAAGAGATAGATAAGTATGAAAGGTTGTTGAAAGAAGCACAAAAAGAACTTTACCTTGGTTGTAAAGATTTTTTTCTGTGCTAACATTGATTGTGGAGTTGATGCAATTGAAAGTGAGCAACTTGATGACCAACAAATGCTTTCACGAGCTAATGGGCATCTTAAAAAGGATGCTTAAAAAAAATCAACTGCCACCTACTCATCAACATGCTCAAAAAGTTTTAAACGATCTTGGACTGGGCTATGAAAAGATCCATGCATGTATATTTTACAAGGAAAATGAAGGGTTAGATAAGTGTTCCATTTGTAATGAGTCGAGGTATCTAAACATTTCAGAAGATAAGAAAAAGATTCCTTAAAAAGTACTATGTTATTTTCCACCGAAGGCAAGATTACGACGACTATATATGTCAATGCATACTGCCAATGATATGAAATGGCACAAGGATGGACGAGTTGATCATGGTGATATGAGGCATCCGGTAGTCACAATTGCATGGAAAGAATTTGACAAGATTTATCCCAATTTTATACCCGAGTCATGAAATGTAAGGTTAGGCCTTGCAACGGATGGTTTTAACCCATTTTGGGGATATGAACAAACCTTATAGCATGTGGCCAGTAGTGGTTGTTCATTGTAATTTGCCTCCTTGAATGTGTATCAAAAAGGAATTCACAATGCTACCCTTATTAATTCCTAGCAAGTGCGAACTTGCTAAGGATATTGATGTTTATTTGAGCCCGCTAATTGATGAGCTAAAAGAATTATGGGAAATTGGTGTGCATACATGTGATAAAGGCACTGATTCTACTTTTAACTTACATGCTGCTATGTTGTGGACTATTAACGATTTTACCTGCTTAAGGAAATTTATCAGGATAAAGTATTAAGGGTTATAATACATTCCTTGTTTGTAATGACGATGGAACTTCTGAATGGTTCAGTGCCAAGGTTTGCTATATGAGGCATCGGCGATGGTTGCCCTAGGATCATGTGCGGAGCAATATCAAGGAATCCTTTGATGAAAAAACTGAATTTTGTGTAAGAAAAAGAGAATTATGGAGTGATGAAATTTTGTCTCAAGTACAAAACATAAACTTTGGTCAGATTGGTAAGCATCCTGATAACCCAGATAAAAAAGGAAAAGGACACATGAAGAATGGAAAAGGATTAAGAAGAGTATTTTTTGAGTTAGAATATTGGTCAAAGTTTAAAATTAGGCATAATCTAGATGTAATGCACATTGAGAAGAATATTTGTGATACTATTATTGGGACAATATTGGGTATAGAGGGAAAATCAAAAGATACAGTGGAGGCTCGCCAAGACTTAGAAGCACATGGAATAACAAAATCTTTGTGGTTAGATTGGAAAGGAGAGAAATGGGTTAAAGGACATCCATTTTTCACAATGAAACCAAATTTAAAGAGAGAATTCCTTCAATTTTCGAAATCCGTAAAATATCCAGATGGCTATTCTGCCAATATTTCAAGGAATGTGGTAGTCGAATTTGGAAAAATTTCTGGATTGAAGAACCATGATCATCATGTATTATTCTAATGAATACTTCTTATTGGTATTCAAAAATATTTACCAAAAGAAGTGGTTGAACCAATTATTTAGTTGTCCAATATATTTCAACAATTACGTGCAAAGACGTTACGAATGGAGGACATTAAGAGGTTAGAACATGTTATTGTGTATATATTGTGCAAGTTTTGACAAATTTTTCCACTGGCTTTCTTTGTTTCCATGATTCATTTATTGGTACATTTATCCGAAGAGGCAAGACTTGCAAGTCCTGTGAGTTATCGATGGATGTACCCAATAGAAAAGTTCATGTTTATTAATTTTCCTCGATTGTAGTTTCTAAATCAATGCTAACTAGTTAAACAATATATCTCACAAAATTTATTCTTTTAGAGAATGTTAGGGGGACATACAGAAAATGTGTGTGGAATCAGGCTCGACTTGAAGGATCCATTGCAGAGGCATATGCTGCACATGAATCTCTTACTTTTTGTGCCATGTACTTTCGAAATATTGAGACACCTTTTAATCGAACTGAATGGAACTTTGATGGTGGAGCTAGACAAGAGAAACTTTCTGTTTTCTCCCAAGTAGCACAACCATTTATGAGTAGTTCAAAAATTTCACTCACAAATGATGACATAGAGATTGCTCAGTGGTTCATATTGAACAATTGCGATGAGGTTCTTCCTTTTCTAATGTAAGTATAGTACCTATGCATTTAGTTTAATTATTTGTACTATACATACATGCAGTATGTATATGTAAACTTGCTGTGTAGGGAACATGAGGAAATGATGAAGAGTGAAAGTTATATGAACGTACAGAAAAGGCATAGAAAATTGTTCCCTAATTGGTTTCATGAACGCGTTAGTCATTTTCTAGTTGTAATAAATACTTAATTTTTCATTATTATTTAATCTAGAATTAGGCGAGGAGTTTAGGGAAGGCAAAATCATCCTTGTACAATGATGAGCTATTTGAGTTCGTAAGAGGTCCTCTTTGAGCTGAAACATACCAAGGTTGTACTGTGAACTAGGTAAAGTTTATAGCTGCAGAATGAGATGATAAGCTAGCCACGCAAAATAGTGGTGTCTTTGTGCCTTTAAATCATGATACTGATAATGTAGACTTCTATGAAAAGTTGATAAACGTGGTTGAACTACTGTATAGACAACGTTACAAGGTTGTTCTATTCAAGTGCCACTGGTTTAATACAAACCCTCTTAGGTCAGGATCAGTTAAACGTGAGTACTACTTACTATCTATAAACTCTAGTACTCGTTGGTATGATAGTGATCCTTATATTCTTGCAACAATGGCAAAACAAGTGTTTTACGTAAACGATCCTAAAGCAAGTGGTGGTTGGAATGTTGTTCAAAGAATGGATCACAGGAACATATATGATATATCAC